ACTTCAATAGGCCTATTTACGATAGTGTGATTAATGAGACATTTGTTGATTAATTCATCGAAATCTATAATAGGTATATACCATTAATAATGATTCAGCATAATAAATCAATTAAAAAATTAGTGACGCCGGGGCAAATAGTTGATAGTAAATAACAGTACAATGAATATCCACATAATTGTTGAATGCAGTGACCTGTCTCTAGTAATACATTAAAAATACAAATTATAATTCGGGACAAAAAATTATCTTTACATGATATGACCCATATCATGTGTACATCGTGAACTCAAGCGGTAAAGTAGTATACGTGCCGTCCCGATTCAAGGAATGACGCCGGGACCGTACTGATAATAATTAATGGCTACGATGAATATTCATTTGAAACATCTTACTTAATCTATTATACTGTGTGTATGATGATGGTGATTAGGCATACAGATTTCAAGAAAAATACAAAAACAGCGTGGTGATTAATCCTGGCGTGATTAATCCTGGTGCTTTCTAGACGGAGTCGACGTTAAGGTAAATAAAACTAGAAAAAAAACTGTTCCAATGGTAAGTTTGCATACATTTTTATATCATTCGAAACATCTTACTTCTGTTCTATTTTCTCTATGGTATATGCAATTACATACACGAACGAAATGTTGGCATTAAGACCTGTGACTATTTTTTTTTTTTTTTTTTTTTTGAACAAATACCCAGTTTTCGAAGGGAATCAGATGATTTTGACATTTCTATATTGTTTAATTAAATTGTTTTGTAACCATTATTAGCTGTACTGCAATAAACAAACATCACCACCACACTGTCATAGGTTACAGGTAAAACTAAAAATCAATAGGAAATTCAAGTGTCAATCAACCTTTTATTAAATAATTATCTGTCTGTATCATTCAAAGTTTACAAAAATGTAAATAAACAAATACTGTATAAGAATTGTTCTAGTAAATTGAGTTATTGTAGTAACGTCAGCCTATACCTAACAATATGCACAATAATAATAATAATAATAAAAATAATAATAATAATAATAATTTAATAACAATAATTTAACAATAAAAAGTAATAATAATGAATTTATATATAATTAATAAAAATAAAACTATAATAATACAGTAATCGATTTATTATATTGCATTGCATCTGTTGCTTGCATCTACCTATTCACTGTTAAGGTCATATGCGACTTAATGTATTATGGTTATTGAAAGTATTTTGTGTAAGCCATTTCTGTTAATTGAATAATAATATAACGTCCGATGTAATGTACTCACTATAGATATTTCATCCGTGTCCAGGATATCTTAATGGAATATTTATAGTGAGTACATTTTACATTGTAAGTACGTTATATTATTATTCAATTACGAGCCGAAATGCTTACACAAAATACTAAAATAACCATAATATAATAATGATTTATTATTATTATTATTATTATTATTATTATTATTATTATTATTATTAATATTATTATTATTATTATTATTATTATTATTAATTATTAAAATAATAATAATATTATATTATTATTATTTTAATAAATAATAATAATAATAATAATATTAATAATAATATTATATTATTATTATTATTTTTAATAAATAATAATAATAATAATAATAATAATACAAATGTGCTTAATTAAATTAGTTCATAGACTACCATATTCAATGCCATTCATTCATGCCTAAATATTAAGTAAGTAGGGCTTGGCCCTAGCTAGCCTAAAATGACAAGTATAGGCAGGCCTAACTAACGCCTAGGCATACTTCACTGTCCAATCCGAGGGAGCCTAGCTCAGCGGCAGCAGACGTCAGGCCCTAGCTAGGCTAAGGCGCGCCTAGATCGTTGGAAACGACGATTAAAGAAAAACGGTTAAGCAAGACAAGGACTTCGCTAACTTCTATTCCTCAGTATTAAAATCTTACAATTCTAATCTTACAATGGCTAAGTTGTTTGTTGTTGTTTTATTTATTTATTTATTTTTTTTTTCATTCAATTCATGTTGAAATTAGTGTTTTGATGGTGATTTTTTTTCATCCAATGGGAATTCATATATTTTATATGAGAAGAATCTATGAATATTCAGCTTTCCATTTACTGAGCGTGGGGAGGAATGAACAACAAGATATTTGATTTGTGAACAGCCGAAATGGTAATTTAAAGCGAACGAAGTCGCTAGAGGTAAAAATGCAGCCTCTACGCGGTGGGCGGTCAGCATAGCACCAATTGAAAAGTGAAAAACGACGGCAATCAGAAAAGGCCCACCATCCCTAATTTTTTGTTCGAAATTTAAAAGTGGAGAAAAATAAAAATTATTTTCAAATTTAGTCTGAGAGTGCCATTTCCGACCAACTAGAGATGCCATAATCATTAATTAATTTTCTTACCTCAGCCCCAACCATGGTGGGGCTGAGGTGGTCTACACTCTCCATCTGTGAAGGTCCCTTTCTGGGCCCAGCTCTGTTTCAAATTACTGGATCCGCCACCGGATATTTTAAAAATTTCGTATGGAAATAAATGTTAATTGCATTGCTTAAAATCAATTAAAAGGCTATGGCGCCAGAGCTTCTCGGAGACTTCTCCCCCTGGTACCCAACATGCTTGGGCCTACGGCACAAGACTATATTTTTCAATTCGTCCACACACTTTCAACCATGGATCGACGCCCCTGATTGCTTATTCCATCGCGATAATAACAATTACCATTCAATAATAGTAGTAACTAATAGGCCGAGAGCATTTTTTGCAAGTGTTTTCACACGCATGGAATATTAGGTACATTTTCACGACAGGTTGGGCAAAATGGCACATAAAAGCCCCCTAACGCAAATCCAGGTACACAATAGTTGAACCAACTTTAAAATACCACAAATACAAATGTGCGTGACGATATTGTATTGCTTTAGAAATGTGATTTCAGAAAAGTAGTGCATCGTATACGTAAGCACTTGTTTTGTTGGATTTTTTTTTACTTGCAGCGTTTGGGAAATAGGTAATAGGTAAATTGTAATGAATATAATAATATCTAAAACCTATTATTATTGAAGGGTCCTTTTAAAAGTTTAAATAGGATTTTTAAAGTTATATTTTTAGATCATTAGACCTATTGAACGAGCCCCCAATAGCCCCGGG